CGATCGACAATCAAACCTTTTAATACAATTTCCTTGATATTTTGTCACAATCAACAAAAAATGAAAATAAATAAATTGATGGAAATTAAATTATTTTTTTATGTTTAGAGTCATTTACATAGTTATTAAATGAGTTTAATGAAATAGATATCATTTAGCCTTCTTTTACACTTCGTTTATTGTATTTATATATCTATCACCACATCTTCATCGTACTATCATCATTATAATCACGAAACACCTAAATTCTAATAATTATCAATAAAATTGTGTCGCTTATATATCTCACTCATTTAAAAACATTAATTCGAACTAAAGACTTTGTTGAGCAAAATCAACATTTTCGTTTTGTTCGAATCAAATTAATTTTCACAGTGATTGATCAGATTTTATATTAATTATGAATAAACAAAGAATATTTAAGAAAAGTTTCGCCAGCCGGCTAAGCATTACATCATAGGATCATTTATGATAAAAATTAACATATACCTTTTTTTTTCACATCCATCGATTCATCATACTTGTTTATGTAGAAAATTAAATCAAGTTAATCCCTATGCAACACTTTTAGGTTGTTTGCGACAGTAGAAAAAGTATAAATAACATTAGAGATCGACGGATGTCAAAAAAAAATGTCGTAACAATCAAAAATTAATTTGTTCGTTTTTGGTTCTATCTAGCACATCCTTCTTGCAAATGTGAATTGACTACTGTATATATACGTTATCGGTATGGATATGTTCATTATAAAATTTTCACAGAGAAATACGTCAGAGTTCTAACTTATTCTCGATCCATTTCAGTTTCTGGTTATATGCGAGGATTACCGATTGTTGAAGGTGAATATCATATATGAGTTCGATAAAAAGCTAAGCGAGCTGAATGTATTAATTATTATTAATTGATATTAAATAAAATAATTGCTGATTAAATTTTTTTAGCAATTTCTTTCATAAATTCGATCATCCAACCTTCAATTCCTCATTTAATTGTTAAACGTTGTTTGAGTGATAGAAAACAAATATTGTCAAATTCTCTCTCATCAATTTTCAAAAGTATAATATTTAGAATAATTATTTCCATTAGATAAATCTTTCTATACTCGTCGTTTAAAAGTATATTTAGTCAAGGTGACAGTGTTGAGAAAAAACTATTATTTTTCGTCTGAATTGATCAATTTTTCTACAAAACTTGGTTATGAAAAATTAAATTTGATATAGAATGATAGTAAAATGTTTTTAATATGATTTTGATCGTTTAAATATTGAAATAAAATTATTTGAATTTGTATTTAATGTAACAATAAATGTATTTTGTAAATAATTCTCATTGTAGTAATGGATCAAAGATGTTTTTTTTCTTGTATGTAGTTTAATCTCAGAACACTAAACATGAGTTGAGTTATGAATAAAATCAAAAATAACATATAATATAATAAAAATCTACTAGCGTCTAATAACGATTTTATATTCATCTAGGATGAAAAATTTTAAGTCTGTCTTAATAAAATATAAAAGTTCGATAAATAACCAAAGAAAAGATTCGTATATGAATAAAATCTATAGGAACAAGCTCACTTTTTCAAGATGATTGAACTCTTAATCCTATGAATTTTCCACCAATCATATTTTATTTTCGTCTTTATCACTAAAAGTTATTCAGGTCATCAAATATATTCAATGGTTAAACAAAATTTTATTTCTATTATTCATATTATGAACAATTGTATCAACAAAAGAGGAAAACACAATCGGTTGATACATTGAAAACGATTATTCAGTTTGTCTCGAAGCATTATTACACAAAAACTACGAATGAATAAAGATAAAAAACGTCTTCTAGACGACATAAGTAATCATTCTATTTAAAACGATTTTTTTTTGTCATTTTATTTATTAGAATTCGATTCATCATCAATGAAACATATTCGTCTTAGTATAACTTGTTTATTTGATTTACCAGATAAAATTTTACTTTTCATTTGTCGTTATTTATCTTCCTATGATATTCTTTATGCATTTTATACACCTTCAACACCTGAACAACGTCTTCATCGTATGATATTGGATTATCGTACAAACATAAAAATTGATGGAATAAAAAATAATGAATACAATTATCTATCAAAATTATTTTCTCATTCTCAAACTCCTTTACGACCAAAATCACTCGCAGTGAATAATGAACATATTACTTGTTTAACGTACTATTATTTTACTTCTACACCTGAACATGTAATTCAATCGATGTTTAGTAATTTAAAACATCTTACATTAACTTATTGCTCAGAAAGTGATCTTCAATATCTGAATAAATATATTGGAAATTTAACAGAACTTCAATATCTTCATATAACTATTCAGAAACCTGATATCAATCAAGGTATGTGTTCATTAAAGAGATTCTATCAAAATAAGAATATAATCTTGATCTTATTTAGATATGGATTATCTTAAAACATGTAATATATTATTTAATCAATTATTATTCAATGAAAAACAAATCTCTTCTATTCGTACAATCAATTATCAAATTTATTATGGACTTTTATTAAATAAATCATTGATATCTCATGATAATCTTCGAAATGTAAATCTTGTTTTACAAACTATTGATGATTTATATATATTACTTGATGGACTTGTTCCAAATGTCCAAACGATGATTATTAGAGTGTTTCAATCAAGAAGACGTTGTACGTAATCGATGAGAACACATAAGTAGATGAATGAACTCATTTTCAGTTCAACAAAAATATTTGTATATCGGTGCAGAATTCGACGGAGAATCTTTTAGCGACAAATTCAATCATTTGCAAAAACATTTGATTGAATATTGATACAGATTACAAGACAATATATTTACTCTAACCAAAGACCTGTATTTTGACAAAAACTTGATCAACAAATTTGTTGGTGTTTTGCTATAGATAACATTATTTGAAAGAACAAAGCACGCTGCACGGATTTATATATGTGAACCATCTATAAATATCAGATATAAACTGAAGTTCACATGAAAAAATAGTATTTGTCTCGATTCGACAGAGTTCAGAAGACAATATTATATTCAGATTATTAAAACAAATATATTCCTCCAGTGCGCTTCATTTGATCGAACTTGATTAGTTAAAGTCTGTTATCTATATATTTTTGATTTAGTAATGAATTATTCAAATGTTACAACAATGTTTCTTGTATGCACATAATAGATTTAGAAACATGAGCAAATAGTATATTCAAAAAATGAGAAAACTAATGATATCAGCGTGTAGCTCGAAGAAAGCTTTATCAAGCCCTTAAGAGAATACTTCTACAAATGTTTTGATTAACTTTTTGTCAAAATACAGACCCTTGATTAGAGTAAAATTAGGATAAAAATATCGTGTAGTAATCTGTGTCGATATCCATTAAAAGGTTTTCGCTATAGATTGAATTGGTCGCTAAGCGATTCTTCATTGAATTCTGCACCATTATATATGTATATATATAGTCTTGTTGAAAAACTGAACATGTTTCTGTTGTAGCTTGTCATTATCCTCAAAGTGCACGATGGGTATGTACTCAATTAACTGATTTTACATTAATCGAATCATCTACTGAATTTGTCATTGGTGATATGAAATCTATTCTTGCTTATATGACAAATTTAATTAAATTAACCTTAAGTATTCAAGATACATTGGATCCGCTATTTTGTCATGGTCCCACTATTGAATCAATGTTAAATGAATATCTTCCACATCTTCGTCAATTTCATTATACAATAACTCATCAAATGACTAAGCAAATCTTAATTGAAAATTTTGTTCGATGGCCAATGAATATTACATATTATGGTATGGAACATGGTAGATGGATACATATTTATTCTTTACCATGGCCATCAAATAAAAATGATAAACGACAATTGCCTATTGTCAGAGTTGAATCAAGTCCATCAGTATCATCAAATGTTAAAAGATCTGCATGTAGGAAATATATGATAATTACAAAATATGACAAATTTTCTCTATTAAATACAGAATTTGATCATGTTTACGAAGTAATAAGTTCTATATTGATTGATATTAAATTGCCATTTCGCATTTACAAAGTCATTTTTTCAAGAGACACACGTAAGTATCTTTTATAAAAAATAAGATAATTGTTGATTAAATAGTTTTAGCTATTTTTTCAACAAATTCAACAATTCAACCTTCTGTTCGTCATTTAATTGTTGAACGGCGTTTATATGATGAAAGAGAAATGTCAATACTTGTTCATCAATTTCCACATGTTAAATATTTAAAATTAAATCTTCCACTCAATCAATGTCCATTTATTAATTGTTTAAACATTTTACTCAAACAAGAGGATAATATTAAAAAGACAAGCTGTTATTGGACTGAATTGATCTGTTTTTCAACACAATTGTTTTATGTACACAAAAGAATTATTTCAAATGAAAGTCAATTGCATGATTGGTTCATTCGATATTCAAATTTAACATGTCATAAAAATTTTCTTGATAATTATCGTTCTTCTTCAACTTTAACTATTTGGTATTAATTAGTTTAATATTTAAATAAAATCATTTGAATTTCTACTTAAGACCAGATCAATAGAATATTATCTTAAGTATATTTGTTTTCCATAACAAAACTAATGGCTAATGTAACACCAATGATTCGTTGAACAAGACTTTCAACAAAAAGATTTCTATCCAACATAATCCTTAGTATTCTTTTGATCACGTTGAATATTTTGGACTTCTAATAGTTTCTAGCCTAGATAGAATTGAACTATTGAACTAACTAATTGACATAAAACCTATTTCAAAGACACAATTGAATATCTATCTGTACGATTACAGGATGTAACAAAAACATTAGGTTCCACTCAACAACTTAAAATGCAAATGATACCACAAAGTATTATATACCAAATCAAAGCTCATTATAGTGAAGTATAAAGGCTCACATGAAAATATAAAGAATTCTAATTACATTTCAACGAAAATCGTCTATTAAGGTTCTTTAAAATTTATTCG